AGGCCTTCTTTTTTGTTATTTGTGATAGGTTAGTGCCTGTAATATCCTTGCTTCTCCAATGCAGCTGGTACCTTTATTTATGTATAATCAAGATTTCTATCCTGCCTTTCAGTGAAATATCCAAGACATCTTACAAATCAATATAAATTATACAAACTATGATGTGAAAACACAGCACAGTATCTGTTGGAATAACAGGGACTCAGACTGCCGTGGCAGCAGTGGAAAAGAAGGTAGATCTTGCTGTCTGTCATTGGATATTCTGCACAGTACTGTAATAGAAACTCTCGTCAATGGGAGCTGCCAATCCTGTTTGAAAGGACAGTAGCTTATCAGAACCAAAAGACTGTTTGCCCCTTTATGGTCTAAAATTTGACCTATGTGGACAACAGACAAATCTCTAGATCTGCAGATCCTAAACTTTTTGACACGATACCCATTTTGAGACTTCTGAGAACCCCCTGTGAAGGTTCGTGTATGCGGGCTTCCCTCTTCTTAAATATATCACCAGACTCAGTCTTACAAAAAGGATTTGTGTTATTTATTAAGATATTCTGGAAAAGACAGTACAGTGGTGCCTCGCTTAACGAGTGCACTGTATAGCGATGTTTCCGTATAGCGATCCCTTTTTCGGGATCGCTATACGGAAACATACCCAATCGTCGCAATGGGGAAAACCCGCATTGCGAAGATCGGGTATTGCGGCGGCCATTTTGGAGCCAACGGACAGCTGATCGGCAGTTCCAAAATGGCTGCCGGAAGCCCGGAAATGGCTGCCAGCAGCTGTTTTCGCGCCCTGCCCTCGCTTAGCAAAGGCGCGAAAATGGCTGCCGGCAATTGGAATCCTCGCTGAACGGGTAAGTAAGAAAGGTATTGGAACACATTAAACTAAGTTTAATGCGTTTCAATACATTTTCCCTACCCGTTTAGCGACGATTCCGCATAGCAAAGGTTAATCCGGAACGGATTAACCTCGCTATGCGGGGCACCACTGTATTTATTTCCCCTGATCCCCCTTCTTCCAGAGCCCGCCCTTTCTCCTCTTTTCCTGCCATTTCAACCCTAGATGGAATAGCCATACATAATCCTTTCAACTCTTTCTCTAACTCTTGGGTATCCACTGCTTGCGATATCCCTTTTCCCCTCATGTTCTTCTGCTCCAGCTCTCGGGTGTCTATCCCTTGGTCTTTCTTTCGGGGTGGGGTAGGAGGTGGGGTTGTTTGAGTCCCTTTGGATGTCTTAAGGAGAGACGGCTCCACCAGAAAGACCTCTTGTCTCTGGTCTTTCCCTTCACACACACACCGCATTCCTCATCTTTCTTTTACCATCATCCAAGAATCTTTCAACAAAAAAACTCAATCTGTAAACTAAAATTAAAAATAAACACAAAACATAATAAAAATATTTGAGACTAATAAACAGAAGAAATAATTTGCCAAAAATGTTAATAAAAATGTAATTTAGCTTGTGAAATAGCAGAAACAGAAGTTTCTTTGGAAAGATGATGAAAATCTCTTAGTCCTCACCCATGGAATTTATTTGTCCCCACTGTCATCTGTGCCCTCCAAATGAACCATATGGCATATTTTATGTTGTAGTGCAACTTTTTCAGGTTGCTCCCCACTGTTCTATTTCTGAAACTTTTCCTTCACTTGATTAAATATATTCTGTATATTCCCACCTTCTCTTGATTTAGCTAAACTGATTAATGACTTTAATCTTACTTCATAAAGTAACACACCTATCCCTTAAGCATGTAAATTGCTTTTCCTCAATTCCCCCGCCCCCCAGTAGTCTCTCTAAAATATAGTTTCATAAAATATATTTCAGCTAATTTTAGTTAGGCACTGAGAAATCTATCCTGAAGCTGGTGATACTTCAAATCAGAAGTGGTCAACTTTGGCCAGCCCCATGTTAATGGGGGTCACAATCCCTGACCATTAATCAAGCTGGCTAGACCTGATGGAAGTTATGAACCACAATAATTCGGAGACCCACATCTCATATAAATGCTCTGTGATAGGATGAGAATCCCATGTCTCTTGCCACCTGATCCTGTCCAACTAGTGTGGAGCAGCAGTGGAACCCAAATCTGGGGGAGGGGGAAGGTGGGCAAGAGTGAAGGAACAAGACAAGAGATGCACCTCCATCAATATTACCTCAGGGCCAAACTACGGTATGTGTATAAGGGAAATGCCTAAAATTGTTGCCTAAATATTTGCTGATGAGGAAACATGACTTCCAGAGGAGGTGCTCAACAGAAAAGTGACAATGAAGGAGTAGATATTTAACCTCCTTCTCCAAATATTATTTTTTCACTACTTTCACATCCTGTTCTACCCCATGGGGTTCAGAAGTCATTTGTGAAGAGCTGTGCAGAGAGATGCCACTTATTACTTCCTTGTTGCAACTTTCAAATATCTGTTGACCCAGGAGACTCATATAGGGGTAAAAACAACCAGGATGCATTTTGTAACTACAAAACATGTTCTCGGCACATATAATATACTGTTAGGCCCTCAAGCATGTTGAGATACAGGCAGTTTCTGCCTTAGAATCTGGTAATGTAACTAAAGCAGAATACAACTGCTCGTACAGAGCAAGGCAAGAACAATTTACAGTACTTTTATTCAGGGAGAGGCTCTACGGATTGGAAACGGGGATGAGCTCTACGGCTTGGCAACAGGGATGAGCACCGCACCCTAGAGTTGGACACAACTAGACTACATGTCAAGGGGAACCTTTACCTTTACTTTATCCTACATGACAGGGACGGACAAAGTGCAGTCTCCAGATGTTGCTGAAATTCTACTAACCCTAGCCAGTACAGCCAATGGTAAAAATGTTGCAGGATCATAGAATTACACTATTGTAAAGCTGGTAAGTATTAAATGGTAATCTAATCCAACCCCCATCACTGCATAAAATCCATGCCTAAAGCATTTCTAACAAAAAACACATCAAACATTGGTCTAAAAACCTCCACTGATAGGGAGACCACAGCTTCACCAGATAATCTGTTTCACTGAAACAGCTCTTGCTGTCAGCAAGTTCTTCCCAGCGTTTAGTCAGAAATTTTATTTTTGTTTGAATCCAACAGCTGGGATCCTACCAACTGAAAATAAGCTTGCTCTATCCTCCATCTGATAATCCTTCATATATACAAAGGCTGCGACTAAGACTTGCCAACAGCATCTAGAGCAGTGATGGCAAACCTATGGCACGCAATGCCCTCTCTGTGGGCACATGAGCCATAAGTTGCCATTGAGAAATACTTATCTGTCGTGCAATCCCGGATTTCAGCACTCCCCTCTGCTGGTGCAGTGGTCCAGCGGAGGGGTGCAATGGCGGCTATAACTGGTCTAGCCTGATGGGGGACTGGAGGACCGGTAAGAATTTATCTGTTAATACTGCCTCTAAAAAAAAACAACAACAACAACAACAACAAACAAACAAGCATTTAACCCTTGCAGTGCAGGGGCAGTTGTTTTTTCTAAACTAAAACCTCAGTACAGTATTCAGGTTTAATTGCAATGTTGGAACTTTGTGTTGCAGTTTGGGTACTCCTGCTACAATTCTTCCAAAGAGGGGAGTGAACATATATATGAACATGTATATATCCTTCATATATACAAAGGCTGCAACTAAGACTTGCCAACAGCATCTAGAGCAGTGATGGCAAACCTATGGCACGCAATGCCCTCTCTGTGGGCACATGAGCCATAAGTTGCCATTGAGAAATACTTATCTGTCGTGCAATCCCGGATTTCAGCACTCCCCTCTGCTGGTGCAGTGGTCCAGCGGAGGGGTGCAATGGCGGCTATAACTGGTCTAGCCTGATGGGGGACTGGAGGACCGGTAAGAATTTCTCTGTTAATACTGCCTCTAAAAAAAAACCCGCAAGCATTTAACCCTTGCAGTGCAGGAGCAGTTGTTTTTTCTAAACTAAAACCTCAGTACAGTATTCAGGTTTAATTGCAATGTTGGAACTTTGTGTTGCAGTTTGGGTACTCCTGCTCAAAAAAGTTTGCCATCACTAGAGGATTTCATTTTATCCACACCTACTCTGCAAAAATTGGTGCTCAAAGAATTCTGTGGATTAAATGGATTCTAGAACAAATCAACCTTGAACTCTCATTATAAAGCAGATGGAGGCTCTCATACAAGACAAGGCTCGCTAGAAAAAGCAAGAACACTATGAATAAAGTCACAGGTGGTATCAGAAGTGAAAGCCTAACAGGAGATGGACTGACGCAATAAAGAAAATTATGGGCTTTCGTTTTCAAGATCTGGACTATCAAGGCCCTTCCGGAGGCCATTAATCATTCACTTAAAGGGTTGCCATAAGTTGCAAATAAGGACAACGAATCTCTCATTCCTAAAAGAATACCCCTATCTTTTAAACTGTTAACACAGTGCCTTTCCTCCTTGTCAGGAAATAAATAAATACATAAATAAACTTCGCAACAGGGAGAAAAAGTGAGATGTCACCTTGCACTTGGAAGTGCGATGCAATGCACAGTAACGTATGCCAAATAAAACTTGTTAGGCTTCCAGACGCCGCAAGCCTCTCGCAACAGACGAGCCTTCTGGCACTTTTGGAAACGCACCAATGGACCCTCCCTAAAGGGACCACGGCCTGCCTTTCTTTCAAAACAACAACAACTTTTAAAAACACACTTTAGAGAACGTCAGGCGGCAACGACCCAACTGAGCAGGTTTTCTCTCGCCTTTGGCCCCAGAGCCTGCTGGCCAGCAAGAAGCTCCCGGGCAGTGACCTCCCGGCCAGAGGGACAACCTTCCTCCCCGTCGCCTCCTTGCAGACGCGACGGCGGCGCCCAGGCCACAGAAGGGCCTCGCTCTCTCACCGCCGCCGCCGCCGGCTCCCCCCCTCCGGCTTCCGCCGGCCACACGCGGCAGTCGTGGGAAACTGAGAAGCTGGGAGCGTGCCAGGTTAGCCTCCACGAAGCCGCACTCCACCTCGGTCACGCTCGCTCGCTCGCTCCGCATCCGTCTGCCCGCCCGCCGTCCGCCATTACGGGCTCATTTCGCCCGGCGTGGCGCGGCCCGCCTTGCCCGACTCCCCACCGCCAGGAATAGAAGAGGAGCCCCTGGACGCCGCCCCCGCCTTCCCCTTTTCTCAACCGCCTTCGTGCGTGCGCTCTCAGCCGAACTTGTCGTCGTCGTCGTCGTCTCCTCCTCCTCTCCCCCCCCGCCACTCTCCGTCAGGGCGCAGCCTCGCCTCCTCTTCACTGCGCCTGTGGAAGCTTTCTGGGCGGTCACGTCGGTGGCGCTTTCCCTCATTTGGGCCTTGTCTGAGGAGGGCGGGAAGAGGGAAGGTAGCAGCTTAGGTTGCGCTGGGTTCGGTGTCCGTCCGTTTACAGAAGCGGGTGGGGAAGCGAGGCGGCCTGACTCGCTCGCTGGCTCGCTGCTGTTGGGAGCGCCTGTCATGGAGGAGCAGCGTTGGGAACGGGGCGAGGCGGCGGCGGCGGCTTCGCTGTGAGAGGCGTATAGTGGGAGCAGCTCCGCGGAGAGGGAGCCGGGCGGGTCCCTCCGCAGCCCCTCCGGAAGGTATTTGGTCTCGGGGCTTCGCGCTGCCTCCCGAAAGAGCCCCACCGCGCTCTGACCGCGCTCTGCCCTTCCCTCGTCCCCGTCCGGGCTTCGCTCTCAAGCCTGCGCCGACGCCTTTCACCTGCCGGGGTTAGAGAAGCGGGACGCCTGAAGGAGAGGCGGGAGGGCGAGCGAACGGAGGGGGGGGGTTTGCCGAAGACGGTCTCCGAGGGGCTTTGGGACCTCGCTCCTCGCCTTCTCCATCGAGGGCTCCCCGGGGTGGGGGTGGGGGTCGGGGGGTGGAGAAGTCGGGGCGAAGGAGGGGACCGGCTCTCCGGGTGGCTCCGCGCCCGGAACGATCTTGCAGATAGGGTGGGGGGAGGGGAGGCGAGAAGAAAGGGCTGGCCAGGCTGGGCGAGCTTCGCGGGTGCGTGTGGATATGTGCATGCGTGTCGGGTGAGATTCTGGGAAGGGGGAACGGCGTTGGGGTGTTTATGCCTTCAACCCCTTTGACAGGGACTGAGATCTCTCGGGCACCTTCCCGGGGGAGGGCGCGCTTCTTAACTCCTTGCTGTGAGTTCTCGGGCTGCGAGATATTTTGGGCATCGATTCAGTTCCCAGCCATTGTCAGAAAACTTCTTTACCTTTTCGTTGCCACCAGGTGGTGTTAATCTGGTCTCCTCTGTGTTGTCGGAAACGACCAAACTTCTGATGGCCTTTGCAGAGACCTTATTGGTTGGCCATATTTGGTTGTCCAAAGGTGACTGACTACAATAACTTGTACCTTGGATCCTGGCTGACAACACAGTTCTACCTCGGGGAAATTCTAGGTGACTTCAAAATCCAATATTTATTGTGGGTAATTATTTTGATCCAGAAGTATTTTTTGTTCTGAGAGAAGAGAGTTTATAGAACAAAAATAAATAACAGTGTAACCAAGGTCATGGAGACAATTTATGAGTAGCTTCACTTAGAAAAAACCCGAAAAAGATATTAAATGTCATATTTCTGGTTTTTTTTTTGTTCTAGGTTGTTGAAGATAACATTTGCTTTGAGAAAACCCATGGGAAGAGTTCATGGTGTACACACATCTTCTGGAGAGTGTCTGTAGAGACTGTCTTCAGCTCTGTTGTTCCAGTTGTTCCATCATTTTTTATTTTGAAGAACAAGCCAGATTGTGAGGAAAAGACTAAATGGATCTTAAGACAGCAGTATTCAATGCAGCTCGTGATGGGAAGCTGCGGCTCCTCACCAAGTTGCTGGCAAATAAAACTAAGGAAGAGGTGGCTTTGTTGATGTCAGAGAAAACAAATGGTGCCACTCCTCTTCTAATGGCAGCTCGCTATGGACATCTTGATATGGTAGAACATCTGCTAGAACACTGCAGTGCTTCTATAGAAGTTGGTGGCTCTGTGAATTTTGATGGTGAGACTATTGAAGGTGCACCACCACTATGGGCAGCATCTGCAGCTGGTCATTTGAAGGTAGTCCAGTCCCTGTTAAATCATGGTGCATCTGTCAACAATACAACTTTGACAAACTCAACACCTCTTAGAGCTGCCTGTTTTGATGGTCATCTAGAAATTGTGAAGTACCTTGTGGAGCACAAAGCTGACTTGGAAGTTTCAAATCGTCATGGCCATACATGCCTTATGATATCTTGTTATAAAGGACACAAGGAAATCGCTCAGTATTTGCTTGAGAAAGGGGCTGATGTAAATAGAAAAAGTGTGAAAGGTGAGTTTAGTGTAATTTTTCAGTAAGATGAAAATTGCTTTTGACTCAGAAATTCAAAATCCAAGAAGAGTGTGGTTAACTGTTTTTACTGTCTATGCATACTTGGTGTCAGGTATGTAGTATGGTCTTCGTGACCATGGGGTCACAAAGAGTCGGACACGACTAAACGACTAAACAACAATGTAGTAGAAAACACAGGTACTAGTTGTGAGTTTGTGTGTCTTTTCAGAGTGGTCTGTTTATATACTGTATCCTTCTTGCAAAGTTAATGTTGAATGGAGACTGGAGTGTTTCTTTTCATGAAGGAAACAGCACAAATAGAGAGTTGTCTTGCTGTTTTTTGTGTACCACTGATGATTATTTAACTAAAATTACCTGCCCCCTACCTGCAATAAGGCAATATCCATTGTTAGTTTATCCTTGTGACTGAAATAAAAACTAAAAAAATAAGGTAGCATATTATCAGAATGGATGCCTCTTTATTCTTTTTTCTTGAGCCTAGTGTTGGCTCTGTTGTTCAGTAGAGGGTTCTTCTGTTCTATGCTGTTGTAGTTGTTTTGCTTTGGGGTCCTTTTTCTTTTTTGTTTCAGTTTATTTATTTATTTATTGGACTTATATACCGCCCCATAGCGCTACAAGCACTCTCCGGGCGGTTTACAATTTTTAATTATACAGGCTACACATTGCCCCCCCAGCAAGCTGGGTACTCATTTTACCGACCTCGGAAGGATGGAAGGCTGAGTCAACCTTGAGCCGGCTACCTGGGATTTGAACCCCAGGTCGTGAGCACAGTTTTAGCGGCAGTACAGCGTTTTAACCACTGCGCCACGAGGCTCATAAGTTGTAGCATGCTGTTGTCATTGAGGTACACCTTTTTCTTGTTTGCCTTGCTGTTACTAGTTTAATACATAGGTATGTTGCTTCAGAAAGCACTCTTAGTCTGTCTCTGCCTCAAATATATCAGAGCTTAACTTGTTAGCCTAAAAATAAGATGATATAATTTTGAAAGATATAGATATGCATTTCTGTCTTAATGAAACAAGTGGGACTTAGAGATGCTGAATAGCTTGGTGGTTTAGGACTTTTGACTGTGAAGCCAGAGCTTGGGAGTTAGATTCCCCACTGTGCATCCTTGTCAGGGGCTGGACTTGATGAACCATAGCGTCCCTTCCAGCTCTGCACTTTTAAGGTGGTAGTGGTGGTAGTGGTTGTTGATCATGCTGCTGCATAATCAGACAGTGTGTTATAACATGAGGTGTTTGTATATTAAGAGTGTAATGGAAAGCAAACATGTATTTTGATTTGAATAAGTCTTCTCAGTTTTCAGTCTGCAATATAATGGCAGGATGCTTGGCTGTAAGGGCTGCAGCAAGGCAATTCTATAGACGTTTTGGAAAACTAAAGCACTATACAGTTCCTAAGCATGATTTTTACAGATCAGAATGATCTGTACATATATCTAGTGTTTTGTGTCTTCACTGTAATTGTGAATGAGTCATAAAATAGACATTCTCCTGTTACGGCATTTTGAATGGAACTTGGCTTTATACAAGAAGGGTATTACTGTTACTAGAGGTAATAAACTCTAATTTTCTATTATGGTATTGTAAATTATTTGCATAATTTTAGTTTACTAGTTGAAAAGAAACATGTTGTAACTATGGGATTTTTTTTTACTAGTGAAGTACCTTGATAAATGAAGCCATGCAAGTGGGAAAATTCAGTCATTACAGTGTGGTACTGGTGGTTTATGCTACCAAAGAACTTTAGGAGCTGTTTAGCATTGATTACAGTGCCTTTTCCTTTTTATTTCATGTATGGTATAAACAAAACTGACTTCATCAGCAAATGTTAGGATATCCATTTTTCTCTCAGCTTATAAAAGATCAGTTTAATTCATGCGAATATTAATTTCATCAAAATGGTTAATAGAAGGAACATTTCAGCATTTGTCACTCCCAGTGTTAGCCTTTGACTAGTTTTTGTTTCGATTTCTGAACTCTGAACATTGCACATAACACAGAAATAAAATGTGTTTGTGTTTATAGTCACTTTTGTTGAAATTGGCAACTGTCTTACTGAATTCCGATTTTGCTTGTGAATATTTTATTACAGTTTTTCATACTATTGGCCAGAATTCTGTTGAAATTTTTTTGCTGGAGTAACTTTTGGAGATGAGTGGCCTCAAGTTCAGAAATCACCATAGACATTATCTGTTGTGTGCTGCATCACACATGGTAGCACACAACAGATAATGACCATGGTGATTTCTTAATCTTTAGCGATTCAACCTCCAAAGTTAATACCATTTGTATTACACCTGTTGGTGTAATTAATTGATTTTTTTCTGCTATATGGCAAGGCACATTGACTCAAAAGAAGCATGACCTACCAGTTTTGGGCAATTAAGAATGTCATCTGCCAGTTGCTACAAACTAAACATTTAAAATTCTGTCATTCCGAGAAAATACGTTCATATAATTATTTTGATTGGGGCCCCAATTTTATGAGATTTCATAGGTTTCCATAAAGATTATTTAGATTAAAATCTAGTTATTCCCGATGTGTAACCTGTATTGTAGACAAGAAACTACCATGAGGCAGAATATGGAGAGACAGTGTGATTTCCAGTAAGCAAAGGTGTCAAACAAAGGTGCATTTTATTCAGTCTGAACATATATGAAAAGCCAGACTAGATTCAGATAAAGGAGGAGTGAAAATTGTTGGGGGGGTGGGCAGAAGTCAGTAATTTAAGATATTCACATGACACCATTTTACTGGCAGAAAGCAGCAATAATTTGAAATGCCTTTTAATGAAAGTGAAAGATGGAAGTGCCAAAGCAGGATTGTAATTTAACATGAAGACAAAAATCATGACTACAGAAGAATACATGAAGACGTTGAAATAGTGAAATATTTTGCATACCTTGTTAAAACATCAATCCAAATGGATATTGCATCCAAGAAATCAGAAGAAGACTGAGAATTGTAAAAGCAGCAGTGAAGGAATTAGAAAGATCATCCAAGTGTAAGAATGTGTCACTGGATACCAAGACCAAGATGATCCACACTAATGTAGTCTCTCTCATTATGTATGGGTGTGAAAGCTGGACAGTTAAGAAAGCTGACAAGAAAAAGATATTGATTCATTTGAAACATGGTGCTGGAAGACAGCTTTGCGGATACCCTGGACTGCAGGGTATTTAGAATTAAGATTTAAGTTGTTGTAATCAATGGCTTCTGACGTGGTGGCCCTGTGGGTTAAACCGCAGAAGCCTCTGTGCTGCAAGGTCAGAAGACCAGCAGTCGTAAGATTGAATCCACATGACGGAGTGAGCTCCCGTTGCTTGTCCCAGCTCCTGCCAACCTAGCAGTTCGAAAGCATGCAAATGCAAGTAGATAAATAGGGACCACCATGGTGGGAAGGTAACAGCATTCCATGTCTAGTCACGCTGGCCATGTGACCACGGAAACTGTCTACGGACAAATGATGGCTCTGTGGTTTGGAAATGGGAATGAGCACCACCCTCTAGAGTTGGACACGACTGGACTAAATGTCAAGGGGAACCTTTACCTTTACCTTATTCAACGGCTTGGAAATTTTTATATTGATTTATATCAGTTCTAAGAAGAAAGACTCAAAACATAAGTTTTATATATGCCACTTACAGGATTCAGTGTACTCAAGGTTACAGCAGGACTCACCCAAGAAATTGTGCTGCTTGACGTAAAGAATAAGATGACACCACTGTTCATTCCAGATACAGAGGAATTTTATTACTGCATGGCACAGTGTCCTCCACTGCACCTGAATGCAGCAGGTCAGCTTAAGGAATGGAAAGGCCGGTGCCTGGTAGACCCTGCTCTGTCTTCTAACATCTTTGTCCCTCCTCAATCCTATTTGCTGCCTGATATCCCTAGTTCACTTTGCCTAACAATAAGGCCAGTCATTTCAATGTGGAAATGAAAAGTTTGAGAGTAGAACTGTATACATTCCTGTTCTTATACCTGTTTGACATTCTTCTGTATTCAGTCTGTCTTATTAGCATCTGTTACCTAGGCCATTATATTGTATATACTGTACATTTCCAGGAGTATACAGGTGAGAATGTAGTTACAGTAAAATCTTACACAGTGCACTTGTATATTTGTCTACTTTGATTTCGGTCATACTTACTGCCAAGTAAGTGTATATAGTATTTCAGTCTAAAAATAAAGTTAGAAAACAGTAGTTCAGACTAGAGAACATGAATCCATGTACAGTGGTGCCCTGCTTAACGATTACCCCGCTCCATGACGAAATTGCTTCATGACAATGTTTTTGCAATCGCTTTTGCGATTGCAAAACGATGTTTAAATAGGAAAAAACTGCTTGACAATGATCGGTTCCCCACTTTGGGAACTGATTTTTCACTTTACAACGATCTGAAAACAGCTGATCGTCAGGTTTCAAAATGGCTCCCCGCTGTGCAAAAAGACTCCCCGCTGTGTTATGGATGGATTCCTCGCATTACAGGTACCAGAAAATGGCCACCCTAGACTGTGAGGTATTTCACCCATTAGAATGCATTAACCGGTTTTTAATGCTTTCTAATGGGTTTTTTACTTTCGCTTGACGACGATTTTGTTGTACAGCGATTTTGCTGGAACAGATTGTTGTCAAGCGAGGCACCACTGTATAATAATCTTCACAGTTTCTCTCTCTCTCTCTTTTGTTTTATTTTGTAAGCCGCCCCGAGTAGACATGGTCTAGAGGGGCGGGGTAAAAATCAAATAAATAAATAAATACATAAATAAACAGTTACAAACACATTCAGTGCACTCTAAAGATAAACAAACTGGTAGTCAGACATAATATACTAGAGAGTGGCGAAAGTTTTAACTGAAATGGGCATTGAGTAAGACATAGTATGTGTATAGGTACACATGGGGTTGTTTCCTTTAATTTAGTGCTTTTCAGTAACAATCTGGAACAGTATGGTTCATGCTATAAAGTACAATGATAGTTACAGAACAGATAGGTATAAAAATACAATGAGTTGAGAATAGCAAGGGTTTTTACTGTTGAAACATTAAATTGGAAGCCCAGTTGAGTTTTCTCCCTTAAAAGATTGTTATCTCCCTCTAGGTAAAGTATAATAAAAACAACAACAACACCATATCAGTAGATTTCTTATGCTGGCGCTCATAAGGAAATTTCTACCAGAGTCAGTTTTAAGGTGCAGACAGATAAGATAGTGAATGGTTTAAATGGCATCAAGTAACATCTCAGCACAAGGAAGGCTATTGCACAATATGCTTTTTTAATCCTGCTTTGTGGAGAACTATAAGTAGCAGGAAGCATATTGGGAGTTGTTTTCAAGAAAAGTATAAGGATTAGGATGGATAAAATTGATTTTTTAAAAATCAAATTGATTTAAATCATATAATTTTTTAAAAAAAAATATTTAAATCTTCAAAAATCTAATTTTTAAACAATTTAAATGAGTTGGATTTAAATCAAATCCACCCTGATAAGAACAAATAAATGTTGTCGAGGGGTAAAATTCTTGTATTCCAGGAATCTAGAATCCACTGGATTGTAAGAGATGAGAGTTGCTGGTGAACATTCCTATAGTTTACATTGTAGGTGCCCTGTGAGCAGATAGTTCAGTTCTGCCGAGGCTGCAGGTTTTAAATGGAACATTGGCTGTGTTGTAACAATATTAGGATGCTATCCTAACATGATGTTGCTCTCTGCTTATCTCAACTGTTTTTAATAGTTGTGGCTGTGTTGGAGGTTAAATAGTGTGTTAGAGAGCCCCATGTGTTTGGTGACCAGTGTCAGTAATTCCAAATTTATTTGTGCCATTAAATTTCATATTTCCATGTTCTTTTCTTAAGCTATCCTGTTTTGTGCTTCCTGTTTGCTTGAGAGCCCTTTTCACTGCTTTCCCAGATTAGTGCCTTTCCTACCCTTATTAGTGCCTCCTGAAGACTCTTCCTATCTGCAAAGGTTGGACTGTCTGAACTTCACGAGAGGTTTTCCAAATAGATATCCCTTCATGTTTGTAAAGGCATTACTATTCATAAACATGCCTTTGTTGAAACCTTTCCAGTGAATGTTAGAATATTCTTTATCACCTCCGTTAACTAGTATGTGGCAGGCAGGGTACAACCTGTTGGAGGTTTCATTTGTTTGAGGCTTCCATTTATTTAAAGTTTCATTGTAAAATAATTTTAACATTTAAAATATTTAAAATATAATAAGAAATGTACTCAGTATAACAGCAGGGAAGCAATGAAACATTAGAGTTAAATTGGCAGAATGTAATTTTGACACACTTTTTGTGGCATAAATGTGATTGAAGATAGTTGTATTTATTTTTTAGTAAATATATATAGTACTATGCAGCACAGTTTGTGATGATATACTTTATTCAACAACATTCACAGTTTGCAGTTAAGTACCTAGATTTGCTGTTTCAGTTAGCAAGTTGGTATGTCTGTCCAAACATCCAAGGCTGAGTATTTTCCTTAAATTAAAAATGAAGGTTATTCAATTGAGTAATAAAGGGTGTTACCCTTCCATGTTAACATACATTGAAATATTATCCTAGAGTATTTGCCCATTCAGTGCACTTGCTTATGATGTGTCACGTTGTAATTCTTATTATTGCAAAAATTAGATTAGTATGTAATTTGTTTGCCATAAATGCAGGCATTTGTATGTAGGCATGGTCTTGTTCTGAAAATGTAGCAGAGAATAGACAATAATTTTTCTTTTTTTTTCTCCTCCCCCCCAGGAAACACAGCATTGCATGATTGTGCAGAATCTGGTAGCTTGGAAATCATGAAGATGCTTCTCAAATATTGTGCAAAGATGGAAAAAGATGGTTATGGAATGACTCCACTTCTCTCAGCAAGTGTTACAGGCCATACAAATGTTGTTGACTTTTTGACTCAACATGTTGAAACAAGCAAAGCAGAATGCATCAATGCACTGGAACTCCTAGGAGCCACATTTGTGGACAAAAAAAGAGATTTGCTTGGAGCTTTGAAATATTGGAAAAGAGCTATGGATTTGAGATATAGTGATAGAACTAATATTGTCAGCAAACCTGTGCCTCAGACATTGATAATGGCCTATGATTATGCCAAGGAAGTGAACAGTGCTGAAGAATTAGAAAACCTAATTGCAGACCCTGATGAGATGAGAATGCAGGCCTTATTAATCAGAGAACGCATTCTTGGCCCTTCTCACCCAGATACATCTTACTATATTCGGTACAGAGGGGCTGTCTATGCAGACTCTGGAAATTTCAAACGATGCATCAATCTGTGGAAGTATGCTTTGGACATGCAGCAGAATAATTTAGATCCCTTGAGCCCTATGACTGCCAGCAGTCTGCTGTCATTTGCTGAACTTTTCTCCTTCATGCTTCAGGACCGGGCAAAAGGCTTATTGGGCACAACTGTTACATTTGATGATCTTATGGGTATACTGTGCAAAAGTGTCCTTGAAATAGAGCGTGCCATCAAACAAACTCAGTCTCCACCTGACCAAATACAGCTCAACAAAGCCCTTTCCATCATTTTGCATTTAATTTGCTTGCTGGAAAAAGTTCCTTGTAGTCCTGAACAAGATCATTTTAAGAAACAAACAATATATCGATTTCTTAAACTCCATCCTAGGGGTAAGAATAACTTTAGCCCACTCCACCTTGCTGTTGACAAGAACACTACCTGTGTGGGTCGTTATCCAGTTTGTAAATTTCCTTCTTTGCAAGTTACTGCTATACTGGTGGAATGTGGTGCTGATGTAAACGCTAGAGACTCTGATGACAACAGCCCTTTACACATATCTGCACTGAACAACCATCCTGATATCATGAATCTTCTCATCAAGTCAGGTTCACATTTTGATACAACAAACAAGCATAAACAAACTGCAATTGACTTACTCGATGAGAAGGAAATGGCAAAGAACTTGATCCAGCCCATCAACCATACTACACTGCAGTGTCTAGCTGCTCGTGTAATTGTGAATCATTGCATAGATTACCAGGGGCACATCCCAGAAAAACTTGGGAAGTTTGTTTTGCTGCATAGATGATAGTCTTGGTAGTAGGTTTTTGTACTGTGGGTGCATGAGTTAGTAACTTTAACCGTTGCTTTCTCAAGCACTGTTGTTATATGCCAGCGGTACACCATCATTCATTCAACTTGGTCCATCTTGCTTATTGGCTAAACCATCAATAGAATTGGATCTGCAGAACTGGTTATCCAGTATTTAAAACCAACATACCATATAATATATTTTGTGGATTACTAAGAAATGTAATGTTATATTTGGACTCACTAAAACTGTCTGCCAAAGGCTTGTCTACTTTTGTTTAGTTTGGCTGTTGGTTGTTTGGGACTGAATTGAATAATTTTTGTGGTGTTGTCTTATTCTTGCTGATGTGTGAATTCTATAGTTGAGAAGTCATCTTTTTGTGTTGCTTGAGCATTTCGGCTTCTTTTTTCCAATGGGTTCATTGCTGAATTACATAGGTTGTATGGACTTGTTAACATTTGCAATTACCATAAGTGCTTTTATCCTCTCTATGCACTGGCTTGAACATGACTGTTTGTGTGTTGGCATATTTCTATGCATCACTTTGCCATTTTTAGCTCTGCTACTGTTTTCTTCCAGTTTGTTAGAGCTCTCTTAAGAATACACCATTTACAGCATGACAGTTCTGAAGACTTAAGTCAGCTGTCTAAGCCCTCATTTAACTTTCTGCTCTTTGCTGTTTCTGCAGTTATTTTCTATTGATTTTTTAGAGCTACATTCTGAATTTGGGAGTAAAATATGTTCTTGTTGGCAAACCCACTTAAAATTAAGTCTGAAAGTTTTAAAAATATGTCTTGCTACAAGTGGAGAAAGGTCATGAATTGCCATCTCCTCTGTGCTAGTGTCTTGCTTGAGCCGATTGTGTGACTAGGCGTAGAGTTTTCAAATTTAACCTGAAACTTAATCATACAGTTCAGTGAGAAGAAGTAGATCACGTATAGTCTGAAATTACAACTCAAGATTCTTAGCTATGAAAGAAGCTAAAGCATGTTGGCATGATGCTTGTCAGTCCTGGTCTAGCCATCAGATAGTATTAATTATATGGGTGTAGTCAGCAGCCCTCTGCAAGGGCTTCAGAAGTTTAATATTTTCCCCCCTTCTTCATTTAAATTAACTCTTACAGATAATTTGCATGCATTTTATTCTCTGATACCTTTCAGCCATATTTATGGAAACATCAGAGGCCATGTTGAGTACGTAGCCTCTACTGAAAGCTGTCTATTTTTATAATACTTGCACAACAGCTTAGCTATTGCAGCAGAAAGGGCTTTTAAAACTTGATAATGAAACCTAAGTGAAGACTACAAATGAGATTAAGATTCAGGTAACTAATATAATTTAGCACTTTATTGTTGATTCATAATGAACGTTATTATGGCATATTAGACCTGCAAATGTCTTAAAATAAAATGGTTCTCAAGAAAAAAAAGACAACTTCATTTTTCCTTGAGTGGAGTACAACATATATGCCACTTCTGTTTTCTAGTGCATTGGGTGCTTTGTAGAGCCATTGACTGGATGCCTTCTTTAGGTTATAATGTTTAATTCCTCTTTCAGTTCAGAAATACAGCACATAGATTACTAAGAAATTATGGTAGTTGACAATAGAGAACCAAATCAGTGCATCAGGCTGACACAACTCTGTAAAAGTATACCACTACTGCCTTCAACTGATTATTTGAATTTCTATAGACCCTTACAGTTCTTTTTTTCCCCTTGGTATTCACACTATGACTTTTATGTTGTTATCTCATTAGCCCAGTTCAGACATAAAATGTAACCATGAGTTAATATTACAGATTATAGGAGGCTGTTGAGAATCTTGGGCCTGTGCTTTCTCCTTGCCTTTTCTTCTGTTCCTTTCTGCATGAGGAAAGGAAAACAAAAACCTTCATTCTCAGTTTTGGGTAAATTACAGTTTCCCTTATATTTCAACTTGGGGAAAGAGTGATTCATTCTAACTAAGGTTAGTTCATACTAACCAGGGTTACACTGTTGTTTCAGATCATTGTTGATTATATAACCACTGTTTTCTATATGTTTTGGGAATATTTGGGTTTTTTTCCCTTTCAGAACTATAAAGTAGAAGCATTTAGTCTTCTTCCTTACATGCCATGGAGAAGGAGGAAGTGGGACATGAATGTGGTCATGGTACATCATAATTCAACATTACATCCAAATGGGACCATTGTCTAGTGTCTCAGACAAATTGAAGTGACTTCATTACACTAAGAAAGGACACATAGAGTGCTATTTGTTGTAAAATTATCAGAACTGGCAAGAAATGTATGCATATTTGTTGGTGTCCATGGGCTCATATGGAACATTTTTAACAAAAGCAAAACATTTGCTACAAGTGGGGTTCACTGACATACAACAGAATGTTTGTATCAGGTTGTTAGTTTTATATTGATTAGATTTGTGATTAAAAGCTTGAGCAGCTTCAAGAAAAAGTTAAAAAATTTTCATATATATCTTCAGAGCTTCCCTCTTGTGCAAGTAGATAGTTCATATTTTGGAAGGGGAAAAACCCAACCTACTTTAACCTAAATATATAGGACATGAGCAGAACAGGGGAGACCACAGAACGCTGTTCTCTCAAATTCTTTATTTTTTTCCCATTTTTAGTAGAATAGAGAGAGGAATACCACCTCTATTTTTTGATTAATTACTAAATATATTTCTTGCTGATAAGTAAAAAAATACAGTATTTTGTAAAACAATTAAGTAGCAGTTAGTGGTTGCTAAAAGCTTACTGTATTCTCAGTGTAGCTTCTCAATTCTGAATAACAGGACTCTCATTTAAATCTTCCTTTTTAAAAAAATGATGTAAAATGCACTTCCAAATTGGGGACTGTTGGAAGCAAAGTTTAGTTCTCCTGTGAAGCTTGGAACTGAATGCAGGGAACAAAACACTTCAAGGAAGTATTGACTGATTATTTCTGCTTCCCTCTTTATCTTGGTGTAAATTTCAGACACACTGAACACATTTGTTTTTTCTTATTAATTAGTAATTGTGTCTTACGTAAGTATTGCATATGTCTTTCAGGTAAATAGCATTTGTGCTTGGAAAGATACAAAAATCTGTATCATTTTGTATCATTCTGACACGATTTAATTCATTCAATTTATCATTTTTTTACATATTTCCTTTCTGTATACAATACTTGCTGTTATTGATTGGAGTAGAGCAGAATCTGACTGCAGTGAGCTCTCAAAATAGTTACCTGCCTAAATGTGGCCTGACAAGAATATTTGGAAAACATATTGTACAATGACAATGTACATTTAGATAGTATTGTATAACAGGAAAGAACCTAAGAGTGGGATTTAAATGTTTTGATGTGGACTTGGGAGTGGAGCCTCTGTGTTCTGCAGAGGACTATCACTGCCAGTCTTCCTTTAGCCAAATACTGTATAGTAGTCATTGACTGTGGCAGTGTGTGTGTGTGTGTGTGTGCGTGCCTTTAATCCTGAATCCAACTGTTTTACAGAACCCAAATATTAATTTTCGGTTAAAATATGCACCATTTTGTAGATTTTATAACTGAAGACAAACATTTCAAGCAAGAACTAGGTTGTGATTTCATCATATTGGGCAGTTGCCAAATTCTTCTGAGAGCTCCTTCTCTTCCATATTTAATTTCTCTTTCCCTGCATTTAGTTCCATTCTCTAATGTCTAGCCTTTTTCCAGTTGGTGCTTCATTCCAAATTCTGCAGCTCTTCTATAACTCGCACACATTGTCAAACTAAAAATCCTTCGAAGCATGCAAAATTGCTCAGTTTGCATTACTTTAGTGGCAGCAATTTATGCTGGTGGTTGCAGAATTTGTAAAACTGTACAGAATGTGGAACTGGAACTATAGATTTCTTAGTATATGCATCTTCGAAAGCAGGATCCTGTAACTACATGTTTGTAAGTTTGTAGGAATTTGAGTTAGGTGTTTTACGCATTAGCAGTGGTCAAGCCTGAATATCTTTTTCACAACCTTACCAAATTATTACCGTGATGTTGAATGACCCACAACAGAGGCTCCCAATCTTGGGTAACTTAGGTGTTCTTGGACTGTGGCTTCCAGAAATCCTGACCAGCACAGCTGATTGTGAAGGCTTCTGGCAATTGCAGTCCAAGAACGCCTGGGTTACTCAAGGTTGGAACCACTGACCCAGAATACTAGAATTTTCTAAACCTGATTAGTAATTACTAGTATGATATATCCACCTTCCTGGAGGAGCTGTACAACTAAGCACATGCAAAATCACCTGTGGTAAGAATGATCTTGTGAAGGATCTTTCTGGTATAGGTATACCGCCCAGAATAGTCTATAGCAGTGGTCCCCAACCTTGGGCCTCCAGATGTTCCTGGACTTCAACTCCCAGAAATCCTGGCCAGCAGAGGTGGTAGTGAGGGCCTCTGGGAGTTGCAGTCCAAGAACATCTGGAGGCCCAAGGTTGGAGACCACTGGTCTATAGGACTAGATGGGCGGGCTATAAATGTAATAAATAAATATAGGCAAAATGTCATATTTAGAGTATCTAGTCAGGTTTTGCTTCAGGGTTCATACACTGGTTCAGTGTATCCATTCCTTAGAAATAGCAATGTAATCATGTGCAGTTAGGCTGTATGGTAAATTGAAAGAACATGTGCGTGCAAACATGCAATTCAGCCAGCAGAGACGGAAGAAAGTCAAAAAAATCTACTGGATCTTACAGATTATGGACCTTTCCCTTTCATACTCCTTCTTGTATTGAATTGATTTGAAGCTGAGCTGGTTTGTCCTGTTTAGAAAGGAACTGCTAGTCAGAACTGTTCCAGAAGCATGCTAAATCTAGACTAGATATTTAAATGGATACATGGAAATGTAGTCACATTGTGTTCTTCGCTATTACTGTGTATTTACACTGGCTTCTCAATAGGGATATAATTCTGTTTTTACCAACCTGCAGAAGTCAGTTTAGTTGGGTCTTTGAGGGGTTTTTTGGGGGGGTACCCACTCAGTTATTAGTGTTAAGTCAGTTGTTAAACAACTGATTTCCTTGAGTTTTTAACAGCATGCACTGTTTGTCCTATCCATTCCTTTGATTTGATATTTCCCATTTGTGTCCCTCACATGTTGTTTGGCAGTCTCCCAACTTCTTCTGTGATACACAAACCCAGTTTAATACTTCCTTAGCAAAAAATGAGAGGAACACTTTCCCAGTGTCAAGACAGTTTTTCCAGAAAATAAGTACTTGTATGTTAATTTCTTCTTCTTCTTTCACTGTTGCCAGACTATGGCTACTATCTCCTGTGAAAAATATTGAAATGTGCTTGCTGGGAAAATATTTCCATTGAATTATTTCCTTCCTTCCTTAGCATGATTCACTGCAAAAAAAAAAAAAAAAAAAAAAAANAAAAAAGTGAAGAGCAGGATGAGTCGATCTTTCATTTCCTTCTATGTTATCATTATTAACTTTGAATCTGTGGATGTCTTATTTACAGGATTAATTTGTTTTGATTTAAATTAGATCATGTATATAACTGAAATACTCAGGGCTATGTGTAAGTGCACTAACATATCCAGACTTCACACTAAAATTATTTTGCAGAAGAAATAAATGTAACATTTCTGTTTCTTCTTTCAGTTTTTGAGTAGCAGGGAATTATATAAGCTTTTACCATTTGACTTCTGATGCCTTTTTTCAAAGCTGTTTTCTCAGCTATAAGGGCTATAAACTTGATTCTCAAGATGTTAAACACTGCTAGCACAGAGCTTCTTGTGCATGATGTGATCACAGGTGCATATGATATTCTCTCAGTGTTGTTTATGAGAGCTGGGTGTATGGTGATACGTATAACATTATTGGTGATATTTATGAATTATCATGCTATAGCATACATGTTTTAGGAGCAATGGTGTATGTAATCAACATTGATGTTTCTGGCTTTACCAAGGAAACTCCGATCCAACAGTGCAGATCATAGGAATTAGTTCTTTAATTCTGTATTTGGTGTGCTGGATTGACCACAACATCAAGGTTTATCTTTTTTATGACATACCATTTCTTTCTCTCTGGGATGTTTCTCTTCTCCATAAAGATGAGAAATAAACACTATACCTAGTTTGTTTGGGTTTTTTGTTTTTGTTTTTTGTTTAGTTTTTACCTTTGCCTTGATGTTGTTATTAAGATACATGTCACCTGATCTTAAAGCATTTTTGGAAGTATCAAAAATATAAAGAAGAATGTTGTATGTACCTATAGAAAATCTATGAATACAAATTAACTTGTTCAGAAACTGGATAGAAAATGTATTTATTTTATTCCTTTATTTATACACCGTTCTATTAGTGCAAAGGCATTATGCTGGGCAGTTTAACAGATAACAGTTTATATCAGGAACAGTAATGTAGCGCCTATAAAACAAGTTAATTTCATCTGAAGAAGTATATTTAGAAACACAAAAGCTTATGAAAAGTTTAAAATAACTAGTTTCTTTTAAAATTTCTGTTTCTGCTACAGATTGCTATTCGGCAATTGAACACAGCTACCTACTAACTTTTCTGGATGGAAAAGAGTGTCTAGAACAATATTTGTCAAAAAGTAGCTTAGTACAAAGTGCCTTTTCTTCTGTGCATGCAAATACCCTACAAACAGAGACTTGCAACTTTGAGTGACTCCTCCCATTTCCAGAGCACCCAAAAGTCTCAGAATACATATTTACTTTTTTTGTGAGAAGAAATTGTAAGTATCCCCCCCCCAATATGTCCGTGTCCGTATATTTTTTCTGCCCTTTTTGTAAAAATAAACTGCTTCCACCTAGACTCATTCTGCCCTTGGATGTATTCAAATTTGTTTTGGGTCCATGGGAAAAAGGGAATGTCATTAATTTCAATCTGTTGTTAATTTCCAAGCTGTGCTAAATATAAAGGAAGACTTGAATAGCAGCTACACCAGTAAGAGCAGTTGTGGGAAAAGTGAGGAGGAAGAAAAGAACCAGTGTTTATTGAGCACTTCATTCTCTCAGTTCAAGAGCTTCAGATGGTTCGGTTGATGCTGGAGCTGTCATAGCTCCAGGTTTTCTTGTGAAAATAGTCAATAATTTAGAAAAAAATCTGTGCTGCTATCAGAGGCTGCAATCTTATATCTACTTGCCTGAAGTAAAACCTGTTAAACTCAGAGGGTCTGTTCAGGGCCTGGATAGAATTGTGCTGTTATCATCACTGGTTCCTCTTAAACCGATCAGCATTTCAGCAGGTTGTTTCTGCACAAGCCAACTTCATAGTCTTTTGATCCATCTGTAAGGTGGGTGTTTTCTCCCCTTAGTATTAATATGCTTGACTATGAGTGCTGGAATTATCTCAGGCTATTTTATTAAATAATTATTATGTTTAATAAAACCTGTACTCTTTAAAACCAAGTCTATACTTTTAAGCTCTCTGGTAGTGATGCATATCATAGAGATTACTGTATACTGTAATATAATAGTTGATTGAATGATGAAATGCAGGTGAGTGACCTGGAAAAGCAAAGGCTGAAACATCATGCTGCCAACTGTAAGCAACAACTACTACTTTAGTGTTTGTCTTAGTATGGCTGAAGAATCCCAGAAGAGATAATGAATACTTGTGGTGGTAACATCATGGAGGACAAAGGTGAACACTTGTTGAGATGTGACAGTTTCCTGTGTTTCTGGTAATGGTGTTCCATTACTTTAATTCTGACGTATGGTGACTCTTTTCAGGGTTTTCTAGACAGAGGATACTCAAGTGGGGTTTACCATTCCCTTCTTCTAGGGACACCATGGATCTGCGCAGATTGCCAAGGCTACACTTTTCCTGGGGAATGTGGGGCTCTGCAGCTGGGTACCTAACTCACTGAGCTATCTAGCCATCACTTCCTATGTTTAGTGGCTATTAAATACAGTGGTGCCTTGACTTACGAACGCCCTGACATACGAATGTTTTGAGTTACAAACAGCTCCAGATGTGAAATATTGCTTTAGGTTACGAACCGTGCCTTGACTTACGAACGGGAAAAAAATGCCTGCCCTTTTTTTGACCTAAGTATGAATCATCTTAGGTCAAAAGAAGAAAAAATTAAAAAATCCTCCCCCTAGTGGTAGAGGATGGATTAACCGGCTTTGCATTAGTTCCTATGGGAACTAATGCTTTGACTTAAGAACCGTGCCTTGACATAAGGACAAAAAATAGCTGGAACTGATTAATCGGTTTTCAATGCATTCCTATGGGAAACGCTGCTTTGACTTAAGAATGTTTTGATTTACAGCCACCGTTCCAATACGGATTAAGTTCTTAAGGCACCACTGTATTTCATGAATTTACATCGGTCATCCCAAAATATGCATTGTCACTAATAAGCTCCCAAGAAATTCTTAGCCATTAGGAACTCCTCAGTTTTTACCCATGCTTTTTAGTAAGATCAGTTGTTGCCCAGGCAATATTCCCCAGTTCCTAACAATTTTGTCCGCCGTCCCCCAGATTTAGGGATGGAACAGGATTATATGAAATGGATTCTTGTCATTTTTCAAACTGTAAAGGTGTAGATAAAATCAAAACAGCCTCTAACGTGGGTGAGAAATGTCTTCACTGAAGTTCCTACATAAAGCTACATCTTGCCTCTTGCAGGAGTGTTTGCAAAAGCTTTGTTCTGTTTACATCCATTTATTTACTTTTAAAACTTTCAGAGAAAATGCCTGCCTGAAGTTATGTAGAGTAAGTCCACTGCCAATGCTTACTGTATCCAAAAGCAAAATCTCATGGAATTGTGATTGCTTCATTTTGTTTGTGCTAATGAACCTTGTGTCCAGAAATTGCTTTTAAACAATAACAGCAACTGACAAATACATACTGTGGCACTAAAGATGAACAAGCAGGAAACCATCTGATAAAGCAGACTGTAGTCAGCAAAAGTTTAGATCAAACAGAACTTGTTAAGTCCCATATGATGCCATAATATTCTTCCTCTTTTTTTGCTGCAGGAGACTGACATAACCTACAGGGAACATAAGTTTGTTTATTCGTAAATTGCACAAATACTGTATTTTTAAAATTTTGAGTTAGAGTTGGGATCATCTCTCTTCATCAAAGTACAAAAGATAAAGTCACCTTATGAAAGAATATGTAGAGAGAGACCTGAGTTCTAAATATGGGGAAGATGATGGTACCTAGATACATTAGATTACCCTAGATATTATAGATGCATATGGAGAAAATTGTCTCTTGCCTGCCTTCCCTTGTCCTTTCACAGTGTTGTTAATAGCACATAGGTACCAGTGAGAGGAGTGGGGTAAAAGGAATATCTTTGCCTGCTCTCCTCAATCAATCCTTTTTGACTTTTCTACAATGAAGTCTTTAGGAATGTATTAAATTATCTGTCTGTTG